GGCCTCCCGGCAGCCGGGGGCCATCGGCCCCGCCAGCGCTTTTGCGGGGTCATTTCACACGTACTCGACCCTTCCGGGAGAGCCCAGAGGCTAGCGGCCCCTGCCCACGGGGGCTGGTAGGCGCGGGCAGCGGGAGGAGCGCCCCGGCCCGGCCCGGCCGCGACAGAGCCCCACAGGCCTCTGGGCTCCTCCCGGCACGGCCGCAGGGGCCAGGAGAGGGAACCCGCCGTTCCCCGGGGTCCAAGCACCCTGCAGAGCCCCCGCCGGAGCCCTGCCGGCCCATTAGCAAACCGGGAGTGGGGCTGCAGAGAGCAGAGCTGGGGCTGGCACTGGGGCTGCCGCCCGCAGGGAGGCTGCTTAGCCCATGCGGGCAGTGGTTTCCATCTCCCTGAGTGCCTGATCCCACCTCAGCCGGAGCTGGGCCCCCTGCCCTGCCACTGAGCAGCCCAGTAGTGCCCCCGGCCTCTCCAGGATCCGGCCCTCAGTGGTCACTTGAGGGAACCAGGGAATTTAGCCGGGTGCAGACTGCTCCCTCACTTACGATTAACCACACAGTAACACCAGAGACCCAGAGTACAGCAGGGTCAAGGGGAAGGAGGGGTTTCATCCAGTCCCTGGCTCCATCTCAGTACAGTAACATCCTTCTCACACATACCAGGTTGGGCCCGGGGAGTGTTCCTACCCCTCACAGCCCTCCCTACCCTTACAGTTGCACACAGATTTCTCAGGAGCTTTCTGGAAAAGTCAAGCAGCTCCTGAGACTCCAGTTCACTTGGCCTCTGCAAAGGCAGCTCAAGACAGTATATTTGGGACTGATTTATAGTGCTGCACTGTACTTAGGGCCGAGAGGGATCAATGCACTGTGGACACCGCCTGAAAAGCTCCTCACACACTCCCCTCCTTCCCCCCACCCCCCACCGTGCTCCTCCGTTCCTGTGGGAATTGCATCACAAACAGATGCACAGCATGATAAGGCAGGGACTTGGAACAGCAGCCGGAGCCTTGGAGCTGGTTCAGAAAGGGATTTAGGCAGAGGACACGACCGCAGCTGGCTGGAACTGTGTCCTGTACTGCAGAGGGAACCTGGCAGCTGATCAGGCATCCATGAAGTGAGGTACTGAGTGGGACTTCCATTACCAGGGATTGGGACTGAGTCACCAGGGAAGGGAAAAGTCACTCCCAGAACACACTAGATGCAGATCCAGTGCACATGCCTCCACCTGCCAGAGGTGTCCCCCACTTCACTTCTGGTGCTGCGCACTTTAAGCTAAATCTATTCCTACTATGACCTCTGTGCTTAGTGGAGGGGCCCCTTGGCTGGGTGCAAGCTACAGTAAAGTTACAGGTGATTTTCAAACCATGGTTAGGTTATTTAGACACCCAATTCCTATCCCTTTCTGGGATTAGCTGGCTTTGAAAAAAAATCTGATTCCGTGCAATTATACCCATTTCTCTGCCTAGCCAGCATCACTTCATGTCTACATTACACTGCAACAGGGAAGTGTGGGAGGACAGGGCTTCCTTTATTACTGTGCAGAGTATCACTGAGACACAGTGCCCTTTGGAGTAGAGTTTGAGCTCACCACTCCTCCCCCAAACTCTTTAGCGCAGGTAGACAACCTGCGGCACTCATGCCCTAAGTGGCACAGGCCAAGAACCAGGGCAGGAAGCAGAGAACAGAGCAGCAGATTAGGCAGAGCGCAAAGATGAGGATACGAAAGGCAGCACAGCAGACTGGAAAGAGGAAAGGGATCAAAGCGCCACTCAGGGAGGGTGTTGGGCTAATTTCTGGCATGCCTGCCAAAAAGGTTGGCCACTGCTTTAGAATAAGTGAGCTGACGTAGGTGTTTAAGTGCCTACTTTAGGCTTCACATACAAGGCAGTAGCACAACTGCCTTCAATGCTAAGCCCTGCTTGGTTTCAGACTAGTAAACTGTATACTAAGGGCTGTATATAACCTATCTGAAATCACACAGTCCATAAAGTAACCAGATAATCCATGCCATCAGGCTGCATTGTAAAATATTGAATTAATACCAAATTCCTTGTCTTTTGCAGTTTCTTTCAGTCTGGGGCAATCGCTATCCCCAAATAGAACTGCAGTTGACAACTGACACATGGACCTGAATTTTATTCCTTGCATCCAGAGAAACTTTGGAGCTATACGGATAGCTAATTTTATAGAAAAAGAAATATAATTCTGTTTTCTCCTCCTGTTTTCCTGCAGGGAGACACTGTCATGGCAGGGATTAAGCTACCAAGCTCAATGTTCTTGAATAGCCCAGTAGAAATACATGCCATTTCCCCATGCCAAATACATACTTATCAGGAGTAAGTAGACCCGTATCCATGAGTGCCTTATTCATATAATCCTGGTTAGGCTAATTGATTATAAAGAATCAACATCTTTAAGAGAATGTTGTAGGTAGTTCTGAGGGGTAGACAAGAAACAGGCTTGCACACCATAGTCTGTTTCTGCATCACCTGACACCTTGGACAATCATTGACACCAGCAGTACAAACCAAGTGTAAAATGTCTTCCTCCTGTTCTGATCCAGGATCGGAAAAAGGCCAATTCCAGCTAACATGGAGTGCATTTGCAAAATTAACTAAAGTCAATGTGGTTTTAGTAAAGTGTGCCAGACCATCATGTAATGAATGAACATATCCAACCAGGCAGCCACTTTCAGCCTCCCAAATGAATTAAAAAAAAAAAAAAAATGCTTATAGTGCAGCAGTGTGACCAGACAAGACTCTGCTGAAGGACAAGATCATCTGATCCAGAATCAAGAGCTAAACAGCATTTCACTTCCTTTTCATACAGGGGGGAAAAATGATGGATGAGAAAAGCAACTGGAATATTCTTAATTGGCCTCACCAACTGTTTTTCCCATCCAAAATGCTATGTAATTCAAATTCAAGTTTAGTTCCAGCCTGCACCTCACAGCATTACTACAGCTTGTCCAATACTCTGGGCCTTGTGGTCCCATAGAGATCCCTTCTCACACTCATAAAGAAAGAAAACATCTTATAGGATCACCTAAGAAACAACCAGCAGCATATGTAAAATCTTTCCTTTTACAATTTACCAGTAGCAACTGAAAAACAGACTAGATTATAGCTACTGACTCTAGTTACAGCTCCTTTAAGTACCACCTCTTCTATTTATCTGATGGGTTCAGATTAAAGTATCCCTAATTTTTCCAGCACAGTTTTACTCAGCTTTAAAATGAAAACCACCTCTTCAGCTGGCCAGTTTTTCCTAGTCTATTATTGACTGTTCTCAGAAACATATATTGGCTTGATGGACCAACGGTTTGATCTGGTAAAAGTAAATCCTAGGCTAGTTTTTTGTTTGTTTGTTACTTAATTTCATCACCTTACACACCTTTGTCAAGCCAAGTTACTGGAACTGAAAACATTAATTTTATGCAAAATCATCCTGTGATTCATGAACTTTTGTTGGCAGATCTTTACATTCGGAGGGTACCGAGACCAGAAGTAAACTATTTCCAGGGCTTTGAATAAAACCAAAAGCTGTTAGAAGCCCAGTTAAAAAAAAACAAAAACTCAGAGAAACAAGTCAGTGGCACTTTTTAATCAGTTCCATGTACTGAACAATCAATGTATTGCCACAGCAAGATATAAAATATTTTAAGTCATCCCTGCTTAAAATAACATGTGCGGTGTCATCAAAAGAAACATGGGGCAGTGGATAGAGCACAATGCTAGGGGTCAGGAGATCTGGCAGTTTCCCAGCTTTGCTACACAAACCCCAAGCCTGCAATTGGATCAGTCTGAGCCGGCCCTGGCACCCACACTGACTTCAGTGGGGCTCCATGAGCACAGAATGTGCCCAAATGTTTCCTACAAACCTTTTGCACTTAACTTGATATGTAAGAGAAATCTTATTGAACTCAATGGAGTTTCTTATGAGTACGCCATAAACACATTTACTAATGTACGTTGAACCAAGGAGTTTCTGTGTGAGCAGAGTGATTTAATCTCCTTGGGCCTCAGTTTCACCATCTCTAAAAGGGGGCTAATCTTTACCAGTTACATAGGGAATGTTGTGAAGTTGAATTGATTTCAATACAGAAGAAAGATCTTTGAATCAAAAAGTCCTATAGATGTGAGTAATGTTCTAAAAGGGGAGGAGGGAGCAACCTTTTTGGCAAATGGACCACAAATTAGCCCTGTACCCTCCTTCAGTGCCAGTCCAATCCCCTTCTTCTGCCTGATCTGCATCTCTCCCTGCCTCATCTCCTGCTCTGCTTTCTTCTTCCCGTCCTATCTGATGCAGGGCTCCCTGACCCCTCCCTGATCTGTACATGCTACACAAGATGCCCATGCCACTTGTACCACAGGTTGGCCACTCCTGCTTTAACACATGGTGAAGGGCAGACATTAGCAAACTCAATCGCACAAAGAAAAACAATGTCTGTGAAGTGCTGTAAGTGCTTTGTATTAATTACTAGCAAACTCAGTTGAGTTTAAAAGCACATTTGAGTGCCTTCTGTCCTAGATCCAACTAATCAGTATAACAAATAGCACAATTTAGATGATTTAATAATGTAATAGTCAGAAACACTTT